CCCCAAAACCCCAAAACCCCAAAACCCCAAAACCCCTGGGTGAAGCCAAGATCTGAAATAAAATTTGTTAACATAAAAAATGGGAAATCAGCAATGAGGCTTCTCCATATGTTGAGATGATGGTCAATATGACACTCAGAAAGGCGACATGATGTTCGAGATCAAAGGTGTCCTTCCAAAAGAGGATAATGCATGGTGAGTACATTTCAATAATACCAAAAATGTTGACTTCAAGCATGATTTTGACCCATCTCCAAAATACAGGTTCGTGCTAATCTTAATCTCAGGATGTGTAGGTATGTCCAAACAGAGATAGATGAAGAGAAAGAGGGTGAAGGCGACAGCTATCGTGCCAGAAAGCCTAAGGTTTACTCTGAAGATCTCTATAACTTGGATAGTGTCCTAATCTACAGCCAAAAATGTCTAACTGGAGGGAGAAGAATCAATAAAAAGGCTGGGCTTGATTGTAACATACTATACTCTGACTCTGACGAATTCGCAAGAGTATCAAAAGTCAATAACACGCACACATATTTCCCTGAGAAATCTCTCGTTAGCCCTGGTTTACCAAACGATTCCATCAGGCATAGCTTGATGAACAGAAAGCCTCGATATGTGTTTAAACTAGATGAAAAACTGAGAAATTTCAGGAGTGGTTCTGTTACCAAACTTAAGCAGTACTGTGAGAACAAGTATTTACCCTTATTTCTCACTATTTAGGCTTGTAAACTTCGGAACCCCTGTTCGGCTAGAAAAAGAGCACAATTTGTTCTATTATTCATTCGAGTTGTATGAAGACCAAAGTGAGTTTTAAAATCATGACTTTTTAGATATAAAGAAGAGGGAAGATGAATTTTTAAGCCAAATTATGATGGTAGAGGAAAAAGCCAAATCAAACAAGTTCATATTGAACGAAACTCCGAGGTACAGAATGAGTATCGATGAGATTCCAGAGCCAAGTCCTAAAACTGTTCCTCTAGTTCGATGTAAGTCTTTACTCTTTACAATAGTTGAAACAAGTGATTCCCAAAGAAGGAACCCTGATTTCTCAGGACTAAAACAAAAGGGAATTCTGAAAAATATTGATCATACTTATACTCCAGATGTTCATAACAAATATATTAAGGCTAAAGAGTAAGTTTACAGACATAAAGTTTAGTAGCTCTTATAGACATATTTAAGTCCGACGCTGAGGGTTCTCATCAGCATCACCAAGAGTTATTAGAAAATACACCGAAAAACTCGATTTGAAAAGACCTGAATAATGACTTTAAAGAAGAAGAAAAAGGTCAGGATAGTACTCTCAGAGTTTACAACATCACTAACGAGGTTGAAAATACGTTCGATGCGAAATCTGATCGATCCTATGACGATAGAGTAAGCTCCAGAAGTATTAGTATAGATCCATATTGATATGAGACGAAGGAGTAGCTCCCCTCCACCTATGATTGATCAGGAAACTGTTAATTCAAAGGTGAACGAGATCTTACTCACACCGAGGAGTAAACGGAGTGAGGAGAATCCTACCCCTGAAACCCAAATGCAAACTGAAGAGAAAAAGAATCAACCTCCTAGTGAAACAAATACTGTTCCTATTGCAGGGCAATCTAGGCATATTCAAAGAGCTTTTCAAGAAATTGGCCCTAACAATGCAAATATTTCAGAAAGTTTTGCAGTTAATAATCAAGAAGAACGCAAATGGGATGAATTTGATCATTTAGATGCTTCTCAAGAGAAACTAGATGATGATGAACAAATCAGTATCAATACTATTGAGTCCAGAAGCTCTAAGTTCAGTGAAGGCAAGGATAATAAAGGAGAAGAAGGATCGAATACTTCTCAGGCTAGAGACTATAAACTTCCAGAGCAGGATCCTCATGATTATAATTCCCCTAAAGTTCATTCGGCTGGTTCTTGAGATCTTCATCATCAAAATCACATACACAAGTCAAACTCATATTCAAAAGCTATTTCTCAATCTGAACGATATGCTTACAATAACGGATACAACTATGAAGATGATTTGAGAAGCCATCAACAAGAAGACTACAACGGTTTGGGTCAAGAATACTATTCAAACTTTGGGAATATTCAATCTCAAAATCCTCACAACGCAGAGCAGGAGTATAATCAGCAGCATATGATAGCTACTGGTGGATATTATGGAGAACAGAGAGAAGAGCATCCACAAGAAGGCCAAAATCTCAAAGAATATTATCCTCAAGGAGTTTATGCACCTGCACAAGAGGATATGGAGCCATTGGTTACATACCAAGGAGAGCTCCTCCAATTTGAAAATTTCGGGGAGCCAAACATTATTCAAAGATGGTGTGTTGTCTATAATGGTAGCATTTGGGTTTATAACACAGGAAATCATCAGTCGCTAGCCTTTGAGATTCCTTTAAATTCCATTTGAAAAATCAACCAGACAGTTTTCACGTGGCAAGGTCAGAACTGGTACATATTTGAGCTAGTCATATCAACTGCCAAGCATAGTCAAATTGAAAACCGCAGTGATCCTGGTAGAACTCAAGGATTTACAGAGAATTTTAATACAAATTACCAAGACCAGAATCTTTCAATGACTAATCCTGCAAAAAGCGTTGATCAGAAGGTAACTCTTTGACATCATATACAGATTGATGACTTATTTGGGGAGAATGAAAATAACCCAAGGCCTCAAAATAATAGTCGATACTGTGGTCCAGTCGATTATGAGTATCTCCAGCAGACTACTAAAGAACAAATGTTAGATCCTGAGTATAAGTTAGGGGTTTCCCCAGATTTCTTCCAATCAAATAATTCCGACCCAGAGAGGCACTATGGAAATAACGAAGAATTTGGAGAACTTACCCAGGATACCAAAGTTGTTACCCTTGGATCTGGTAGTTATCCTGTTATCCAGGGGTGGATTAGCCACATTAGTTCCTATATGACATAACTTTTATAAAGAGAATTAGTAGAAATAATTTTAATCCTTCCAAGATTTCTTCGATCTCAAGGGGTTTTGGGGTTTTGGGGTTTTGGGG